GTGTTGCATTGTATTTTGAAAGATGATTTCAATATTGTGTGTGTGTGTTTTTAAATTACTCATTCCCAGTCTCTTTGTGTTGTATCTGTGGTTTTCAAATCTTACCCTATTTCAGCCTCCTAGGATTATAGCAGTTCTCTGTAGAAGTACCAGACACAGAGTGCTTTCACAAATATTTGAATACTTTTAAATAATTACACTTTCTCAGAAGTGAACATGACTCATAAAACATACAAATATTCTGGTTTAATTCATGGGGTAATTTGGAGAATGAGAAACTCTGCTCTGAAGCATTCTAAAATAGCTACATTTTTAAGCCCCAAAAGGGTTAGAAGGTAGCTGAGAGAAGAGGATATCTTTGGAAACAATAGATTTGAGTACAAAGAGGTTTAAGACCCAGGCTTTATTAACAACTATCTAGTATTTTTACCATCTCTATTCACATGGTCATAATGTCTCTTCTCTTTAAGCAGATATAGAAGGGACACCCTGTTGGAAGAAAGAGGGATGATTTCGTCTTTATTCAGACTTCAACCTTTGGGGAGAGAATGGCAACCCTGAAAAACTGGGTGTGGAGGTTTGCTTTAACGACTAATAATAAGGTTTTGCAAATTTGTCTAGTGTGAGGCCTTATAGATCATCTTCTGCATGCTTTTCAGTAAATTTGTAAATGGAAATGTAATGTAGTCACCAAATGGTAGGTTTTAACTAGAGTGAGAGTAAATAGTTGTCTCCATGTTTTGAGCCAGCATCTTTAAGGGATATGCCTGAAAATTCCCCCATGATTGGTAAAGTTGGTTAACTGATTCTGTTTTACACTTTGGTAATAGCCATGTTGCTAGTTTACCACATTAGGGTTTTCATATGCCTTAAGAAAACCTTAAAAAAAATTTATGAAGGTTTTTCTTTTTTTTGTATTTGAAGGACCCAGATGAATCCTTGTTTTAGCTTAGAACTAGTAAGGAAGAAGGTGGCACTCCCTGAACTGAAAAAAATTAAAGTGACTTGTATCATGTCTGTTTACTTGGGAGAGTTTTGACTATTTTTCATCATAAGCTGGAATGGTTATGCTCTTATTTAAAAAAAAAATACTAGAAAGGTACAAACTAACTGACCAGTGAAGACCATCTCTGGATATTATTAACTCAGAACCAATGAGTGGCAGAGTTGAGGTGACTCCTTGCCACTAGGCTGTGCAAAAGGGCTCTTCATTATTGTTAAAATTGTGTTTTTTAAAAAATGTGTTCATCTTCAAATACAGAAAACAAAACTGACCAGGAAAAAAAAATGAGACAAAAGGTTCTGTCATTCTCCCAAATGAGGGCAATGCCCTCAATTTACAATTAAGTGTAAAAAAATGAAAATTTACTTCTATAAAGAGTTGGCTTACAGAATATGAGGATTGAGTAGTGACTTAATTGAGTCTCTAAAAAGTGATTACTTGCATATTTTAGTGATTTCACCTTGGTTTCAGACCTTTTAGCTTTATTATGGAAAGTGACGTCATTGAAGTTAAGTATGCCTGTATGGTTGATCTAGAGTCTAAGGTATTCCTGGAATAAGAAACAATTGATGCCAGATTTCACACTTGTGATTGACTACCTTCTATTATTTTCTCATTTTAACATCATTTCTGCAGCTTGAGTTGGTTGAAACCATCCACTTTCAGAAAGTTGATTATAATACTTCTCTTACATATTCAGACTTTTACAGAAGATTGACTAATTTGAAATATGTGA